TAGCCTTAAAAATGATTGTACCTAACACCATTTTGAAAACAATGTAACTGTGTATTAACATTGCTATCGTGATTTTGTCTTTTGTGGTTGGACATCTCTTTCTATTACAGCCGTTGTAGGGGACAGGTTCTTAGCAAGGGACATAACGTTTCAGAACACGGCTGGACCGTCAAAACACCAGGCAGTAGCCCTTCGGGTGGGATCGGACCTCTCCGCCTTCTTCCGCTGCGACATGCTCGCCTACCAGGACACCCTTTACGTCCACTCCCTCCGCCAATTCTACATCCAGTGCTTCATAGCCGGTACCGTCGACTTCATCTTCGGAAACGCCGCCGCAGTATTCCAAAACTGTGACATCCACGCCCGCCGCCCCAACTCGGGCCAGAAAAACATGGTCACCGCACAAGGCCGCGAAGACCCGAACCAGAATACCGGAATCGTGATCCAGAAATGCCGCATTGAGGCAACCTCAGAATTAGAAGCCGTAAAAGGCAGTGTGGAGACGTACCTGGGGCGACCGTGGAAGCAGTATTCGAGAACGATCATTATGCAGTCTAGTATTAGTGATGTAATTCACGGGAAGGGGTGGTTCGAGTGGAGCGGCAACTTTGGGCTTCAGACTCTGTTCTATGCAGAGTATCAGAACAGCGGACCCGGCTCCGGTGTCTTGAGCAGGGTGAATTGGGGAGGGTTTAAGGTGATTAGCAGTGCGACGGAGGCGCAGGCGTTCACCGCCGGGAGTTTTATTTCGGGAGCGAGTTGGCTTGGGTCTACTGGCTTCCCTTTTTCTCTTGGACTCTGAGTAAGATTTGCCCTCGTGAAAGGAATGCTGCTAAGGTTAATTAATGAATAATGGAGCTAGTCTGCGCACTATGTGTAGGATGGCTGTTGTGTTAAAATTTTTAAACTTAAATCTTTTTTTTTGAATGAAATATCTCGTCGTTATTAGTAATCACAATTAATTTAAAATTAAATTGAGTTAGATCAGATATCATAAAAAAAGAAAGTTTTTTTAATATTTATTTTTTTATTTATAAATTTTAAAATTAAAATTTTATTTTAAAAAAATTAAATTCTTTCCACTTTTGTTAAGAAACTTAATTAATTATTAAAAAAAACATTTTCACCTTAAAAATGTGAAGATATTTAATAATTATTATATAATAAATTTAATAAAATTAAAATTATTTTTATATATTTAATAGTTATAATTAAACATTGTGATATTTTTAATGTTAAAACATTTTAATTTTTTCTTTTCTCATTAATTATAAATGTTTTTAATTTAATTTTAAAGTTTTTAAATTTAAAAAA